CTAAACTCTTTCTTTCTCCTTCCCCTGGAAATCTTCCAACTGTGGCAACAGTTACTTTAGGAATTGCAGATATACTGCTAGGTCACCACTGCTTCCCTGTCAACCAGAGCATACCCCCTTTCACACCAGGAAATGAGCGCCGTAGTTTTGGGATTTCAATACAAAACTGAGAATATTCTTATCTATGTAAACTAAAACTGGTTTCATCCACAGGTTCAACTTCCTTATCTTTAACATTGTCTTGCTCTTGAGAGCAAATTAAGTCTAAATTTTTGACTAAGTATAAAGAATGATAACTTCATAATAGGCCAGAATTCTGATTTTAGTTTGCATATTCTTTTTTTTTTCATTTTTAGTTTTGTTAAAAAATTCTGACAAATCAGGTACAGGGATACAGGAGTGGTGGTGATGCAAAAGAGGGAAGCCATGGGGGAGGGGTCAAGGCTGGGTGGCAGTAGTGTCTCCTTCACCCCCATGTCTGGTGGTGTCTCCTGAAGTGGGGACAGACTGTCATGTTCCACAACGGACGAATCTTCTACCGTGCCTGTTCAATGTAGGAGGAGATGTCTATCTCGTCAGGCAGCTCACTAATATTAACCTCATAGAGATCCTGAACATCATTGAGGATCTTGGCATCATTTTCATCTGACACAAACGTGATGGCCAAGCCCTTGGTGCCAAATCGGTCTGCTCTGGCCACCCAATGTAAGTAGGTGTCAGAATCCTCAGGCATGTCGTAGTTAAAGGCAATGTTCACCCGCTCAATGTCCATGCCTCGGCCAAATAGATTGGTGGCCACAAGAATACGTCGTTGAAAATCTTTAAATTGCTGGTACCGAGAGAGTCTCTCCTCCTGAGGCATCCCTCGGTGGATGGCAATGGCTGGGAAGTTTGCATATTCTGATAACTGCAGGAGCTCTGATAGCCTACTCTATAGAGATATGCACTAATTCAGAGGCCACTCCTCTTTGGAGGTTGGACTCTACCAGCAACTTTGTGGGAAAAAAATGGACTATCTCTTGTTATTTGATCTATAGCCAAAGAGACCTGTTGGACAGTCAGCTATGAGTCAGCTCTAACTCTGCAACAAGGAAGGTTTTTGCATTTGATAACTCTCTGCCTTGGGAAAATAACAAGATATCAACAAAGATATTAGGGAAAAAGTTGTTACAGTCTTTAATGTTGTTGTTATGTGCCATCAAGTAGTTACCTGCGACTCATAGTGACCCTATGTACAACATCCCTAAACTCTGCACTATCCTGTGCCAATATTATTGTCTCTGACATACCTATCCCTATTATGCCAGTCACTGAATCAATCCATCCCATCCAGGGTCTTTCTCTCTTGCATTGTCCCTCCACCCTCCCAAGCATGACATCCCTCTCCAAGGACTAGGCCTTCCTTGCAACATATCAAAAGTATATCAAACAAAGCTTCAGAATCCTTGCCTCTAAGGAGCAGCCTGGTCTCACCTGCTCTAGGATGAACCTGTCTGTTCTCCTAGCAGTCCATGATATATTCATTATTCTTCTCCAGTGCCATAGCTCAAAGGCATCAATTCTCCTTCTATCATTCCTAGTCATTGTCCAGCTTTCTGATGCATCGCAAGTAATTGCAAAGACTATGGCCTCAATTAGGCACATCTTAGTCTCCAGATTGACATTGCTGCTCTTTAGTACTTTGGAGAGGTCTCTGAAAGCCACGCCCAAATAATTTACTTTATGATTCACCTATAATTCTTGGATACTTCAAAATATATCCCCGCCCTCCCTTGTCCCAACCCAAGCTCAGTAAAATAATCAGGAGGTGAAGAGAGCACACTAAGATTAACACTAAGTGTGTCAATGCAGAAAAAGGAGATCATGAGTCATAAGGTTGTGATAAACAAAATCTTGTTCACCCACAGCACAAAACTAAGTTTACTTTACAACACTAGTGCTGAAAAATCAAATATTCACTGCCGCTGAGGTTATTTTGACCCATTATCACCCTCTGTCGGGTTTCTGAGGCTATAAACCTCAACTGGAGGAGGCTGTGCATCTCTTTTCCCAGGAGCCACTGATGGATTTGAACTGCTGAGGATGAATAAACTTTTGGTAACACAAAGCCCTAAATGTAACCACTAGAGATGGAGGAAATAATAATTGATGGAGGGCTACTTTATACAGTAAAAAATAATTTCCTACCAGTTCTTACTCCAAATGGGTGTGCAGGCTGAAAACAAATAATTTAAGTAACAGTTAAAAGAATTATTTACTGAGTAAGTATATTTCCATAGAAAAACATGAAGACCCTACAAAATAGTTCTACCCTGCATACATATGGCCACCATGAGTTGGAATGGACTCAACCTCAACCAAAAACAGCACTATATGGTAACACACAATTCAACACTATGCCCACTAGGCCACCAGAGCTCCCTAAGCAAAACATCAGGTAATGAGAAATGGGGTTTACTTTATAAAATTCTAATATTCTGATAACCATAAGGAGGCCAGAAGAAAATTAAGTTGGAGCATTATGAGGGCCTTATTTTTCCTATTATTTTCACCATCGCCACAAGATCATGTGATTATCTTCATCAGGAGTGGCATCCACTTCCTAAACAACACATCTCCAGAAACTCTATGAACTCTGAGAAATGACAATAGTTGTAGGAAGGCTTCAGGTCTTTTTTTTCATAGAGTTGCTCTGAGTTGTGCTCGATTCTATGGCAATCAACAACATTTATTTATAGTTCACAGAATATTAAAACCTTGTTAGTTTCCATTGTTTGACCTGAAGAGGTTAATTTATTTTAAAATAGCAGGAAATCCCCAACTAGTACTTTAAAAAATTTTTGCTTATTCCAGTTTTATAAAGGGAACTCCGGTGACCTAGCGGCAAGAAGCTGCACTGCAATCCCCAAAGCATGCAGTTCTAGGCCATAAGCTGCTTCACTGGAGAAGGATGAACAATCTCCTCCCTTATGATTAACTACTTCTGAAAACCTGCCAGAGGGTTAGCTATCGATTGTTTCCAACTGGAAAGTACATGTTGTTGTTGTTATGTGCCGTCGAGTCGTTTGCGACTCATAGCGACCCTATGCACAACAGCCCTAAACCCTGCTCTATCCTGCACCAACCGCACCGCCTCTGACACACCCATCCCCATTACCCCAGTCACCGAATCAATCCACCTCATAGAAGGTCTTCCCCTCCTGCGCTCTCCCTCCACCCTCCCAAGCATGATGTCCCTCTCCAAGGACCTGTCCCTCCTGGCTACATGTCCAAAGTATGTCAGACGAAGCCCCAGAATCCTTGCCTCCCCCTCCACCCTCCCAAGCATGATGTCCCTCTCCAAGGACCTGTCCCTCCTGGCTACATGTCCAAAGTATGTCAGACGAAGCCCCAGAATCCTTGCCTCCAAGGAGAAGCTTGGTTTAATCCTCTCCAAGATGAATCTGTTTGTTTTCCTGGCAGTCCATGGTACATTCAGTACCCTTCTCCAGCACCACAGCTCAAAAGCATCCACTCTCCTTCTGTCCTCCCTAGTCATTGTCCAACTCTCTGATGCATAACAAGAGATTGCAAATACCATGGCCTGTATCAGGCACACCTTAGTCTCCAGAGAGACACTGTTGCTCCTGAGTACTTTAGAGAGATCCCTAACAGCAGACTTTCCCATCGTGATACGCTTTTTGATTACAACCACTTGGCCAACTGACTGGAAGAGATCTATATTTGTTCCCATTCCAAAGAAAGGTGACCCAACTGAGTGTGGAAACTACAGAACAGTGTTATTGATTTCACATGCAAGCAAGATTCTACTGAAGATTATCCAAAAATGATTAGAACAGCACGTCAGCAGAGAACTGCCGGAAGTCCAGGCTGGGTTTAGAAGGGGTCGTGGTACTAGGGATATTGTTGCTGATGTTAGATGGATCTTGGCTGAAAGCAGAGAATACCAGAAGAATGTCTGTTTCATTGATTATGCAAAGGCATTTGACTGTATGAATCATAACAAACTGTGGCTGACTCTGAGAAGAATGGGAATCCCAGAACATTTAATTGTGCTAATGCGAAACCTATACTTGGACCAAGAGGCAGTAGTCAGAACAGAGCAGGGTAACACTGCATGGTTCAAAATTGGGAAGGGTGTACGCCAGGGATGCATCCTGTCTCCATATCTTTTCAACATGTATGCAGAGCAGATTATCCGAGATGCTGGGCTCTATGAGGAGAATTGTGGCATCAGGATTGGTGGAAGATCTATTAACAATCTCCGTTATGCAGATGACACAACCCTGCTTGCGGAAACTGAGGAGGACCTCATGCACTTGCTGCAAAGGGTCAAGGACTGCAGCCTTCAGTATGGACTGAGGCTCAATGTCAAGAAGATAAAGATTCTCACCTCTGGACCAATTGGCAGCGTCAGGATGGATGACGAAGAGATTGAGAGTGTTCACAGCTTCAGTTTGCTCGGAAAGTACATAACAACAACAATTTTACAAATTTTATGATTAAGGCAGGAAGGAAAATATAAAAGTACATCTTTATGAAATTTACCATCTAGTCTGGAAAACTGGTAGAAAAAGAACTGTAGCAAGCACCGTAAGTATTTTTTAAGACCTAAATAAGAAGTGAGTTTCCAAGTCTTATTGCCTCTCTTAACCTTAGAAACCTCAAATGAACCTGTTCCATTATTGCTAATGACTAAAAAATTCCCTGATGTACTCAAACAATGAGTTTAAGTATGGGTAGATCTCAGATCTGTTGTTCATTGGGTCACTATGAATCATAAACAACTCAAGAACACTGAACAATAACAGAAACAAAAGTTCTACGTATTCACTGTTGTTGGATGCATGGAGTCAATTTCCACATAGAGCAACCCCGTATGACAGAATAAAAGTAGAAAAATTTTTCTTGGCTGTAATCCTTGAGGAAGCAGATTGCCAGGCCTTTTCCTGTAAAATAGAGTGAAGTTTACATCTGGAAGATTAGTGATCTCTACTTACCTTTTCTTCAAAGAATTTTTTCCTTAACTTGGCATCTTTGGGTGGTACAGTTTTCCTCAGGTTTTGATACCACTTTCTAACAATATATCCTCGCCAGTAAGCTTGTATTCTAAAACACAGACATTTGAAAATAATGCAGTCATGATATTTTAACAATATTTCAGTACTTCTTTAAGTTAGGGTAGAAAGCTCTGGTGGCTTGAGTGGTAAGGAGCTCTGCTGCCAATCTGAAGACATGCAGTTGAAATCTACCAGCTGCTCATGGGAAAAAGATGGTCACTCTCTTCCCATGAGATTCGCTGCCTCTGAAAACCTACTGGAGGGTCAGCTATGAATCGGTTTTGACTCAAAGGTACATAATAACAACAACAAAAGTTAGGGAGCTGCACTAGTCTGTAGAGGATTGTGCTGCTAACTCCAAGGTAGTGTCTGTCTCTCTAGTGGTTCAATTTACCAGGGGTTCCACTGGAGAAGATGGCAGTCTGTGTGATTTATAGCCTCTGAAAAACTTGTTGAAGGTCAGCTAGTTGTCAGTTCTGACTTGACGGCAATGAGCAGAGTTTACATATGTTAGGTACTATGCAAGACACTGGCCTGATGATGGTGAACATGAGATAAAATATGTATATATTTTTAAAAAGAGCTATCATTAACTTGGCTTCTAAATACATACTTTCAAGTTGCAGTAGAGTTATTCTTAATTAGACACTCAAATCACCATTTGCTAAAGCAACTCTTACCGTGTTGCACATTTGATTTTGTGTAACCGGGCTCCATCATGAATCACTCTGGTTTGATATTGGTTCTTTCTACAGAGAGGGCAGGTTTTTTTATTTGTGAACTTTTCAAAAGCCTGAAGGCATGCCTGAAGAAAAAGTTTCATTTAAAATTTTATGAGTAATTACTTAGAAACAACATTTTTACATCTAATGTAATTATAGTGTTCTTTTCTCTAATGATTATGAGACTTAGTCCAATTTAGATTCTGAAGTGGAGAGGTTTCATCAGATGTTAACACCTTCTTCATGAAACTCATTCCAAAAATGATATTTTACAAGAATATACATGCAGAAACATCAAAAAAACCTCTGAAATTCAACTAGTATAAAGGTAAATCACCTTTGTGTATAAGACTAACTTGCAGTTAAATCGTATGAATTAAGCTATCATTCACTTTGATGTACATTATTAACAACAATATGCTATACAAACATTTGTGGTTCTTTTGTCACATAAAATTCATGATTTTAAAAAGAGGATGAATTGTACTGTAGCCTAAAGTCATGTTTCTAACTATAAATGGTGTTTGGGTAAAATAAATGGCACTTTGTAGGAGACTTTAAAATGAGTAAGACGAGGCTAGATTTATTTAAGTTACAAGAGTGATGTATTGCATACTTTATTGTAGGAGCTAAAACAGGATTTACTTACTCTGTGAAATACATGGGAACATGAAAGCAGCACCTGTTCACAAGAAAACAAGGAAAAAATGTTTGAAGTTGAAATTAGTTTAAGAGAGGAGCTACATAAATGCATTAATTAAAAGAAAAATTATAAACGCTTAAAAGGTAAGCAGCAATGTTTATTTTGAAAAATTAAGAGAGTTGATTAATAACCTCGTTACTTAGTGCTTAAGCTTAGCATCTCACAATTACATAATCTAAATAAGAAACATTAAGGTCACAAGAGTCTAAAACATCAAATACACATATAAAGTTTGATATAAAGACATTAAAATTAATGTATACTTAAAAATGAAACAATTAAGAAATAGAGAGATTTCCTGGGTAGATAATATGAGAAAGAGCAAATGAGAATAGGAAGAAGGTGGTAAAGGATGTGGGGGCAAACACAGGAGAAAGTAAGATGTTAATAACTTTTCATTTTGCAGATTTGTTCAAACAAATTATACTTTCAAGATACAAAGTTTTTTAGTTTTGTTTTTAAGTCATAGTTTTATTAAAATCAAATTCTGATGTTCTTAAAATAGCATAGATTCAGAAGACATAGGGAACACTATTATTTCTTAAATGCAGGGACTGTACATGCAAGAAAAGGTTGATTTTCTGTAACACAAAGTTACCAAATAGTGATATTCTGGGCTGGGACAAGACAGAAACTTAGA